TATTCCAGGGGCCGGCCTCATGGGTTGTTAGCTAGCGAGACTTTCCGGGGGGCATACCATAATCATGATTTTGAATGCAATATTAATGGCTAACTGCTACGCCATGATGCTACCTCTACAATTGAAAACATCACGGCAGCACGCATATGGTGATATCAATCAAACTATACTAACTGCAGTTATATCACTGCACATCACAATAATCAATCAACCAACAAACCGTGTAGACCTCGACCGCCATAGGAAAGTGGGGGGGGGGGTGTCTGCCGTAGACGGACAAGAATTCTAAATGGCAACTCAAGACATCATATTAAGGAGGCAGTCAGCAGAAATCATGGAATATCTCATTCTTAGTTGCATACACCACCGAGAACAGTCTTGAATAAGGAACGTTGGCTAGAGCACCGGCCGCATGTAAAACCTGACATTGATGTCTGCACCCACCGGCAGGTTACATAACCAGATATTGTTTCACCAGTGTCATCGCTAGCACACGCGCTCTTTTCCGCGTCAGCCAGTATGGAGATAAAACTGCGACATATAGTCACCAGTAGTTATCGCGCGATGTTACCCCCAGAGTCCGACCGGACCAAGTGCTTGACATCCTCTGCACTTAATGCAAAATCGGAGACATGGTTGGTCAGGCTAGTGGCGGTCAAGCAACCACACAGACGAGTGCCGTCTTGACCACACGTTACACATTCCTTTGCTTGTTTAAATTTGCTTCTTCTCAACGTTTTCGGCGAATCGTTTAAACCGTGCCGTGACGGCCCTGATATAGCCCTGCAGTTGCACTTACGGAGTGTTCGGCGAGGTGAAATTGCTACGCGTACGGAAACTCCAAGTGGTTTGAGTCGAGTCCCGGGCGTCGTTTATACTCAGTGTTCACAGGGTCAACTTGCTCTACTGCCTGCCTTGGGTTTTTTATATATGCATTATATATATATATATATTATATATAGAGAGAAGAGAGACGAGAGAGAGAGAGAGAGAGAGAGAGAGAGAGAGAGAGAGAGACAGAGAGAGACGCAGAGAGAGAGAGAGAGAGAGAGAGAGCGAGAGAGGCGAGAGAGCGAGGAAGAGGAGAGCAGAGACAGGGGACAGAGAGAGAGAGGACAGAGACAGAGAGAGAGAGAGATAAAGAGAGAGAGGAGAGAGAGAGAGAGAGAGAGAGAGAGAGAGAGAGAGAGAGAGAAGGAGAGAGAGAGAGAGAGAGAGAGAGAGAAGAGAGAGAGAGAGAGAGAGAGAGAGAGAGAGAGAGAGAGAGAGAGAGAGAGAGAGAGAGAGAGAGAGAGAGAGAGAGAAGCGAGAGAAGAGAGAGAGAGAGAGAGAGAGGAGAGAGAGAGAGAGAGAGAGAGAGAGAGAGAGAGAGAGAGAGAGAGAGAGAGAGAGAGAGAGAGAGAGAGAGAGAGAGAAGAGAGAAGAGAGAGAGAGAGAGAGAGAGAGAGAGAGAGAGAGAGCGAGAGAGAGCAGAGAGAGAGAGAGAGAGCAGAGAGCAGAGATAGAGAGAGAGCGATGAGAAAGCGAGACGAGAGAGAGAGAGAGAGAGGGAGAGAGAGAGAGAGGAGAGGCGAGAGCGACGAGAGAGAGAGAGAGAGAGAGAAAGCTGGGTTGATGTGGCGAAACAATGGCCACTGCGTGGGTACAACACGTTTGCCATATTTGTTTATAGTTTTAATAATACGAAACTTTATTCATGGCATTGTCGTCGTGCACGAGCTGGCCGTTGATGCACAAAGTGTTGCTGCAGGTGGTTTTAGCGTGTATTAATGTCGCATACAGCATGCTTTTCAGATAAATTCATGGTGTTCAGCTAGGTTGCCAATTTAACGCGAGTCCTCATTAAGCAAATAATAGATTTTTTTTTCAAAAAGAGGGTAACATATTTAATAGTAGAGGGTTCCGCTAATCAAGATCAGTGTGCACATACAGCAGCTTGTTCATAAAAAGATAGGTAATCCCGAGGCGCAGATTTAGGGGTTTGCAGCCGGTTTCCAGAAACCGGTCACGAAGGCCTCAAATTCAAAGCAGTAAGAATGCACCAAATATACCTAATTTTTTACAAATTCCGGGGCATGCCCGCGACCCCCTAGCTGGCAGAAAGAACATATGCAAAACTGGTCACCCAAACACCTCTGGATCCGCGCTCCTGGGTTATACACGCAGCTGGCAGCTGGCATACTATGATACTAGTATCCCTAAAGTCGAGCACCTTCAACTATCTTAATGTTGCCGTTAAACCTGCCGCACACTGCAGCACGATTTTTCAGCGCGATTTATCGGCCCGATATGATAATCAGTGCCGATACGGGTAGGGGTGTGCGCTGTTCATTTGTAAACGATTTTATTTTTATCGGGTGATCGTTCCAAATCAAACATGTTGATTTTGAACCGAGAGCGCGATTTTAAGGCCGCCGCAACACCTAAAGCCGATTTTAAGGCCGCCGCACACCTACATCGCTTCATCGCTTCATCGCTTCATCGCTTCATCGCTTCATCGCTTCATCGCTTCATCGCTTCATCGCTTCATCGCTTCATCGTTTGTAAAATCGGCTGGTGTGCGGCGGCCTTAACACAAGTATGTAAAAATACAATGCCTTCAGCAAGTGGCTTTGAGTTTCATTTGCTTCCTCTGATTTTTAACCCCCCCCCCCCGCGAAATGACTAATAGCCGAAAGGAGGTAAGAACCAGGTGAGAAAAGCTGAGAAAAGGTGAGAACCCGGGTGTGAAATTAAAGGGAGTCCGGAGTCAAATACTCTCTGATTTACTGTCGGACTCCCTGATTTGACATATGCAGGAGTCCGTGTGACTCCCTGAAAATTCTGCTATACTAACTAGTTCATTCCAGAGCGGACTCCCTGATTTGACATATGCAGGAGTCCGTGTGACTCCCTGAAAATTCTGCCATACTGACTAGTTCGTTCCGGAGCCCAGCCTCGCAGAATTACCATATTTTTTCAGGTAATGCCCAAAGAAAATTTAGCAGACGTGCAACTGCATGAATCTTAAAAAAAAGCACACGAGTTATTGTTAATATCTTTTAAATTTTAAACCTCAGACTGCAGAGTGCAGACTCCCTCATTTTGCCACGGCCTCCCTCCTTTTGAGGGTAGGGAGTCCGTTGGACTCCCGTGTTCAAAAGTTAATTTTAACCCCTGTAATATGATGTACGCACGATGTCGTAATTGTTGCCGTGACATATACCGGTATGTTAGTGTGTGGTATTGTAACGTAGCTGCGCGTGCAGGCGCAGCAAGTTTCAGTTCACAGCAAGGAAAACGAGCCGGGGCATGGAGAACCCCACCTGGTTTTCGACAACTCGCACCAGTGCGGCTGTGATGCTACACAGCGTCGCAGCCAGTCAGCCGCCGGCAGCAGACGCAGCCCCCTGCCACCACACCATGGTGCGCTTGCTCCACTAACCCACATCAACGCGTGCGCGCAAAACGACCCTCCAGGGGGCGTGACTGACGCGTCGAGTGTGGATGAGGTATTGCACCACAGATGCTCACTCACTCACTCGCTCACTTGCTCTCACTCACTCACTCGCTCGCTCGCTCACTCACTCACTCCCTCACTCGCTCGCTCGCTCACTCCCTCCCTTGCCCACTCGCTCACTTGGCCGCCCGCCCGCCCGCTCGCTCGCTCGCTCACTCACTCACTCCCTCACTCCCTCACCCGCTCGCTCACTCACTCCCTCCCTTGCCCACTCGCTCACTCGGCCGCCCGCTCGCTCGCTCGCTCATTCACTCACTCACTCGCTCACTCTCTCTCACTCACCCACTCGCTCGCTCACTCACCCGCTCACTCACTCACTCACTCACTCACTCACTCACTCACTCACTCACTAATTGTCTCTCTTTCTCTCTCTTTTTCTCTTTTTCTCTCCCTTCTCGATCTTCTCCTCCCCTCTCTCTCTCTCTCTGTCTCTCGCTAACTCCCTCTCTGTCTCTCTCTCTTCTCTCCCCTCTGTCTCTACTCCTTGTAGAGATAATTACTAGCATGGTAGCACTGTGTACTCCCCCCCCCCTCCTGCCCTGCAGCCACGGGCGGAGATAAACGGAACTCGGTTTGATAATTTAATAGGTTTAATATTGAAGTGGAAACGGTGGAATTCGCCTGCAGGTATCATGCCTGATGGGATGATAAATGTGGGGTAAAAACTCGACATGTGCGCAGTCTTATCATGCCACTGTTGGGAGAACAGTACGACAAGAGAAAGAACAATACATTCACCATCACCAGAACACTGACCGGAGGCACACATTTTAATGAAAGTCGAAGAAAATCATGTACAGTCTAGCCTGTATTCATAATATAAAATAATTGGCTATCATTTCTATGGAATGGACACCTGGCTATAACGGACATTTGTGGCATTTCCCTCGAGTGACCATTATACACAGGTTTAATGGTAATGATTTGATTCGATAAGAAAATCTGATCGCAATAAATTCCTCCTGGCGGAGGCAGGCCCTACACTGGCATGTACGGTTATGACATCAAGCTTTCCCTAAGGCACGTCTCAGCTACTCAGAGACTATTTATACATACAATTAACCTCAATGGCATGACGCCAGATGATGTAATATAAATCGCAATTTAGCATATTAAACCCATTAGTGTGGTAACTCAAGCACACAAGTATGCTTTCTATGTCACACATTCCTTGGAATTTACTGCAGGCCCAATATAATAATTACTTGTATATAGATGTAACCTTTTACTGCAGTAAAACTTGTGTAGCTTGACAATACATGGTATCAAGACAGCCTGATGTATCTGTCGAACAGTTAGACCTGAAAGCTGACTCACAGACTTCGCTGCTCTACCACAATTTTACAGACATCCTCTCTGCTACACTCGATGTCCAACTGGCATAAAACAGTATCAGCGTTCTTCTGGTATCTGACACCAGGGGGCAGCAGCTTACAGGAGCAACAATTGTTGAATTTCCACAACTTCATAATGTATTATAATAGGTGATAGATGAGCTTACATTTTTCCTCTTTGCCTTGGAGTCTGATAACTTTCTCTTTTTTGCCCCTGAGGTCTTCTCTGCTGAACTTTTCGTCGGATTTCTGAAATAAGGAAATGTATGGAAAATTTACGAGCTATACAAAGCAACTCTGCTGACCGCCAGTTTAAATCTAACAAAGTTTATCTAAATACTGAAATGCTATTTACCCATCTCCCTTTTTATCCCACATTTCTCTCTGTCGCCCTCCTTCTCACTCACTATCTCCCTCTCGTTCTCTATTTCTATTATATAGCAAGCTTACGTTTCAATGTCTGTGTCACTATCAGTGCTATCAGAAGAATCCGAAATTTTTTCCCCGGCATTTTCTTCTTTCTCTTTAGCAAGCAAGGTATGCTGTTCTCCATCAGATTCTGAATTATGTCCTTCCGTGCTCTCCTTCTCACTCACTTCTGAATTGGAATCGTCGCCAGCTTCCAATTCTTTTTGTTCCTTATTTCCCGCCTTCTTTATGCTGGCTAATACTTCATCATCTGAATCTGAGTTAGTTTGGTTCTTTCTGGCCCTAACCTTCTTGCTTTTCAGTTTCTCTCCTTGCCGCTTCTTCGGTTTTAACTTTGGAGTTTCCGGTTCGGAAACGCTTTCAGATTCCATTTCTGTTTGTTTCTTATTTCCCGCCTTCTTTATGCTGGCTAATACTTCATCATCTGAATCTGAGTCAGCTTTGTTCTCCTTGGCCATAACCTTCTTGCTTTTCACTTTCTCTCTTTGCTGCTTTCTCGGTTTTAACTTTGAAGTTTCCGACTCAGAATCGCTTTCAGGTTCCAATTCTTCCCGTTTCTTATTTCCAGCCTTCTTCTTGGCTAATACTTCATCATCTGAGTCAGAGTCAGTTTGGTTTTTCTTGGTCATAACCTTCTTGCTTTTCACTTTCTCTCCTTGCCGCTTTTTCGGTTTTAACTTTGAGGCTTCCGGTTCGTAATCGCTGTCAGGTTCCATTTCTGCTTGTTTCTTATTTCCCGCCTTCTTCTTGCTGGCTAATACTTCATCATCTGAGTCAGAGTCAGTTTGCTCTTTACTGGCTGTCATTTTCTTGATTTGTCTCTTTCTTGCTTGCTGCTTAACTGGACTTGACTTTGGAGTTTCCGATTCGGAATCGCTTTCAGATTCCAATTCTTCCCGTTTCTTATTTCCAGCCTTCTTCTTGGCTAATACTTCATCATCTGAGTCAGAGTCAGTTTGGTTTTTCTTGGTCATAACCTTCTTGCTTTTCACTTTCTCTCCTTGCTGCTTATTCAGCTTTAACTTTGGAGTTTCCGATTCGGAATCACTATCAGAATTCATTTCTGTTTGTTTATTATTTCCTGCCTTCTTCTTGGCTAATACTTCATCATCTGAGTCTGAGTCAGTTTGCTCTTTACTGGCTGTCATTTTTTTGATTTGTCTCTTTCTTGCTTGCTGCTTAACTGGACTTGACTTTGGAGTTTCCGATTCGGAATCGCTTTCAGATTCCAATTCTTCCTGTTTCTTATTTCCAGCCTTCTTCTTGGCTAATACTTCATCATCTGAGTCAGAGTCAGTTTCGTTTTTCTTGGTCATAACCTTCTTGCTTTTCACTTTCTCTCCTTGCCGCTTTTTTGGTTTTAACTTTGAAGTTTCCGGTTCGTAATCGCTGTCAGGTTCCATTTCTGCTTGTTTCTTATTTCCCGCCTTCTTCTTGCTGGCTAATACTTCATCATCTGAGTCAGAGTCAGTTCGCTCTTTACTGGCTGTCATTTTTTTTATTTGTCTCTTTCTTGCTTGCTGCTTAACCGGACTCGACTTTGGAGTTTCTGACTCAGAATTACTGTTGGATTGCACTTTAACCTGTTTCTTACTTCTTGTTTTCTTCTTGCTAGCTAACACTTGATCATCCGAATCAGCGTCAACTTGCTTCTTACTGTCTATAACTTTCTTACCTATCCCTCTCCTTGCCGGCCGTTCGATCGGTTTTGACTTTAAGGATTCTGACCCAGAACCACTACCAGACTCCATGTCTTCTTGTTTCTTATTTCCTGGATTCTTCTTGCTAGATAACACCTCATCATCTGAACTTGATTCCGAGTTCGAAACAACCTGTCCCTTCTTTCCTTGTTGTTTTCCCTTAGGCAACATAGCCGGTGTTGCTGCATTTGAATCGGGGCCGGAATCACTAGCGATCTCCTCATCCTTCAATGCTTTTGCTGAGCCATCTTCACTGTTGCTCCCTTTGTCATCATGAGAACATTCAACCTCGGCATCACTGCCCGACTGTGTGACTTGTTCCACAGCATCTTCAAGGGATATAGACAGTCGCTGACGTGCTCTCTTCTCGGCTGCCTCCATCTCCGTATGATCAGCCTTCCTCTCTTTCTCTTTCTTGGAGGCAGTCTTCGTAATGGCACCTTTTCTGATGGGGGAGCGGATTTTTAAAACGTCTTCGAGCACAACTGTGGGCTCAGCCTGCTTTTGTGATGTTCGCTTTCCATCTTCACTGGATTCATCCTCGCTATCATCGCCATGGCAACTGTCTGTGGACAAAACTTCGATTTAGTTACATAGTAAACTGTAACGATATGTGTTGTACCGTATGTTCAATAAAAAATCAATAATATGCACAATGGTAACAGCTAAATTCATTGTAATTGGATCCAAAAAGTTGATCACACTAGAAATGAATAAATAATTAGTATTACTCATTAGTAAAATTAATAAATGAAATCCAGAAAACAGCAATGCATATAAAAAGGCATATATTATGAGCTGTGGCCTTCTCATTGTTGGTTCACCAGTTTAGATGCTTTAGGTACAGAGTTAGACTACAGGTAGATCCCGTTTTACGATGGTCCGTTTTACGACTTTTCACATTAACGACCTTTTCAAAATTACCTAAAAATTGGAAATGACAAAAACAACAACTCAATAACACATCGCAGCAACGCCTGTGAGTTCAAACACACAATATGTGCTTCTTTTGTTTTTCGTGGTGCATTGTGGGTGGAATGATAGCATTTAATTGCATTATAATTTGGTCTTGTTTTATGACTTTTCATTTTACCTTGTTTTACTGGAACTTAACCCTGTCGTAAAACGGGACCTACCTGTATATATCATATTTGGCAAGCCTCATTAATTATCTAGGCTCCACTCAAAGCACACAAGTGTCTAGATTTTACTATGACCAGCTTTAACATCAAGCAGAAGTTATTACTGGCATCCGGCAGCAATAACCATTAAGCGATGCTACAGCAAACTTCCAGCTGCATATTCGTCAGTTTCGAAGATGTGAACATGAAGTTAAAGATGAGGCGAACGTTGTTTAGGAACTTACCCGACTGGTTCATCACCTTCTTCCTCTTAGTGAGATTTGTTGCCCCATTGCTGTCGTCTTCTCTGGGTCTCTTTGCCTGAAATGCGGTATTTTCTTCTTCTGGTTTCTTAGAAGCATTTTTGTAAGCAATGGTCTTCATCTCGCGGTCACGGAATCGGTTTTGGTTCTGTTTATTAGGACTGTTCTCCCGTTCCGACTCATTCTAAAACCAACAGGCATTCCAAATTAGCATATATACATTTGAACTAGTGCAGCAACAATGCTAAAGGTACATAACAGCTTCACTATGTACATAATAATTTCCAAGTGATATCCATTGAACACGTTCCATGTCTATGGTTCTCAACAGTACCCCATACACCTTTCACCACGTAGGTGGTCAATTCTGAACCCTGTAACGAAGGTACTGATAGAGTATGCCAACACTCAACTCGATCCAATACACTGAAC